GTGTGGGTGTGTAAAGGGTTTCTTTTTTTTTAAAAAAAAGTCTCTTGAACTATTTGCCCAGACTGGCTTTGAACCTGGATCCTCCTGCTCCCTGCTTCCTGAGTAGCTAGGATTACAGGTGTGGGCCACAGGCGCCCACAGCAGCCTTCTTTTGACTTAGAATTTTCTTCTTTTCAGGATCTTACTTCTTGAATTATTGTTATTATTTAATCCTTCTGCAATATTTTTTTTTTGGTGGGACTGAGGTTTGAACTCAGGGCTTTGTACTTGCAAAGTAGGTGATCTACCACTTGAGCCATACCTCCAGTTCATTTTGTTTGGTTATTTTGGACATAGGGTCTCATGAACTATTTGCTCAGTCTGGTCTTGAACCAAAATCCTCCTGATCTGTGCCTCCAGAGTAGCTAGGATTACAGTCATGAGTGACCCACACTGGGTGCTGGATGTCACTGGCCATTTAACCAATGTTTATCAAATGCCAGTGGCATTGCCTTTGACATTGGAGACTCAGCTATGAACAAAACAAAGGTGCAGTGCAGGCTCAATCTTCAAAGCGGCAGCTCCAGGGTCTCCCCCGCCCAGGGCTGGTCAAAAAAGATCAGTGCTGGCTTTTTTGTTTATTTCGAGACAGAGTCTCACTAAGTAGCACTGGCTAGCCTCAAACTCTTGCTTAGGCCTCCCAAGTGGTGGGACTACAGGCGTGACCACCATGCCCAGCAAAACAGCACTGTTTTATTTCTCTGGTGTTACTATCTTGAAATTCTGTAAGAGGTTTGAACATAGGGCTCTGTATTGCCTGAGGGCTAGAGGGAGGGGGTTCCTCTAAGCCAGTGCAGTCAGAGATGACCTCTTGGGGAAGGTGACATTTAAGCAAAGACCTAGAGAGGACTAGGTGAGCCTGGAGCTATTCAAATGGATCCTTCTAGGCAGAGGGAACCTGGCTGGTTCAGTGGTCTTCAGGGCCTTTTACAAACTGAGAGATGCTGGGGTAGATAAGGATGAGTCAGAGGTAATGGGAGACAAACAACCAAAGCTGAGGAGCCCATTGTCAGGAAGTTAGGTTTTAATCTAGGTATGTGTTAACTAACCACAGCCTTTTCAGACCTCAATAAACTCTCCATCTCAACTTCTACCTGCTGGGCAGGAATTCAGGAGTGGCTCCACTGTGTGGTCCTGGCAGCAGTCGCTTCTGAGCTTGTGGTCTGGGCTGTTCCTCTCTGGCTGATGGCACATGGCCTCTGCTCCCTGTCACATAGACCTCTCCATAGAGAGGCTCCTGTGTCTTTTTTTTTTGGAGTGGGGTGGGCAGCAGAGCAGTGCTGGGAGTTAAACCAGGGCATTGCACACTCTAGGCAGTGCTGTTGGACATTAAGGTATTTCTTATTTTTCCATTTTATGCTTTTTTGGGGGGGCAGTACTGGGGTTTGAACTCAGGATCTGCTTGTTAGGCAGATGCTCTACTGCTTGAGTCACAGCCCCAGCTCTCCAGGCTTCATTTTGATACTAAATCAGGCAACACTTTATTCTATCAAATAAAATAAATGTTGCCTGTGCATAGACACTTTAACAGGTGTACAGTTGTTTCCTGAGTCTCAGACCTTAGAAGTGGAGTGGTGAATCAAATTTTTATTTATATTATGAAATATTCCTGACATGTGGAAAAAGAACAAGTCAGGCATGGTGGTGCATGCTTGTAATCCCAGCTCTCAAGAGGCTGAGGTAGGAGGATCCAGAGTCAGAGGCTAGCCTGGCTTACATAGCAAGATCCTGTCATAGACAGATGATAGATAGATAGATAGATAGACAGATAGATAATGGATAAACGGGGGAGAAGAACAGATAGTAAATATAGTGAATTTGTGAACAATGTTCTGTGTAGCTTCCTTTCTTGCATTCCTTTGTCCCCACTCTCAGGGCTACCCTGTCATACTCCAATCCGTGTTTATCATGGCTTTGCACATTTGCATCTTTTTGCAGCATAAATTCATATTGTTGGGTCTGGAGACCTAAGGCAGATGAGTGAGTATCCCATCTCCCCATGGAGAGCACTATGGTTCCTGCATCTGAGAAGGAATTATGAACCTACATTCCTACAAAGGAGGTGGAAACCTGCATTCCTGCACCCTGAAGAGGAGATATGGGGTCTGATAGATCTGCCACAGGGCTGATAAGCAAAATGCTCTCAAGATTGTTGCCCTCCCCCAATAAGGGGCAAACAAACCAGTTCACCTAAGAAAGCCAGCAAATCCACGACTAATGAAAACAGCCCACCTAACCCAGAGTTAAGACATCCATTAAAAACCCAGCCTGCACCTGAGTAGTGAGCTACCAGTTTCTGGGCTCCACTGCACTGCTCTAGCTGTAGCCTTTCCTTTCTCTCTAATAAATCCTACTTCATATACCGGCTTTGGCTCACAATTAATTAACTGCCTCACTAGCCAGTTCTCTGGCCTGTGAAGGCAAGGACCCTCAACACCAGCCTACAACACTTCAAACAGGCATGTAACAATATTAATCTTTATGTTATGCATTTTAAAACTTATGTAACTGGGCAGAGTGCTGGTGGCTCACACCTGTAATCCTAGCTACTCATGAGGCAGAGATCAGGAGGATCTCGGTTTAAAGCCAGCCCCAGGCAAATAGTTCCTTAGACACTATCTTAAAAATACCCAACACAAAACAGGGCTGGTAGAGTGACTCAAGTGGTAGAGCACCTGCCTAGCAAGTGTGAAGCCCTGAGTTCAAACCCCAGTACCACCCAAAAAAAAAAAAAAAGAAAAACAAAAATAAACTTGTGTAACTGGCATTTGGCCGTGTAAATGTTTGCACTGGAAACATCGTGGGTGAGGCTGTTCTGGTGGTAAAAGAAGAGTTGGGTCACCTGCTTTCACTGGCCTAAGGTGCTGCTCTGTGTGGAGATACCAAGACATCCATTCTTCATGTGGGGAACATGGGGACAATTCAGGTTTTCACTCTTACAAACACTGTGATGAGCATTGTTGCCTTTATCTCTTTGTTCCATGCTGACAGTTTACTCTCCAGTAAGAGTTCTGTACTCTAAAGATTCAGACTTTTTTTTTTGGAGGTAGTGGGGTTTGAACGCAGGGCCTCATGCTTGCCAGGCAGACATACTTCCACTTGAGCCATTCTGCTAGATCACCTTCTTTTGCTTTTTTTTTTTTTTTTTTGATGGTACTGGGGATGGAACCCAAGGCCTTATACATGCTAGGCAATCACTCTGAGCTCCATCCCCAGCCCTGCCAAATCTTCTTGTTTTGGTTATCTTTTGTGATGGGGTCTTGCTTTATACTCCTGGACTTTGATCCTCCTTTTAGAGATTCCCCTCATGTAAGTGGTGATAGAAGTGCCACTGTGCCCAGCCCAGAAGCAGCCCAGACTAACCTCAAACTAGGATCCTCTAGATCTCTGCCTCCCAAGTAGCTAGAATTACCAGCTTGAGCCACCATACCCTGCCAAGATTCAGACATTTTTACGGACTCCTGCACACTTACAGTCTCCTCTTTCCTGGGTAAACTCTCTTCTTTCCTAGGGTGATGACAGGAGGACTTGGGGCATGGGTCATCCTGCCACTTCTGTCTCCTCTCCAGAATGAGGGCTGCTCCAGTGCAAGGCCCAGGCCTGATTCCTGTCTGCATGCACTGGACCTGGCCAATATGGCTCCCAGGAAGGAGTGGTCACCATTACCTGGAGAGGTGCTTGGATTAAGGAGGTGCCTCAGAGCTGAGGAGGAATTAGAGGTAAAGTGTGGAGTTGGGAAAGCCGGAAACAGGTCTTTGTTTTATAGACCTCCTCAGAAATACTACGCTATTTCCCCAAAGTCATAGAGCAAAGCAGAAGCCAACTGCCTCAACCCCGTTGATGGTTCATTCACACATCCATTCAGTATGTATCAAAGCACTTACTCCAGGTGCCATGCATTGTTCTAAACTACCAAATAGATAGCTATGATGGAAAACAAAAGCAAAAACCTGCCTGCTCTGAATGTGGAGTTTATTATTCTTAACGTAATTATGATGAATTGCTAATTATGTTTGCCTCTAGGATTGAAGGGGGGGGTGTGATCCTAATGAGATGGCTTTCCCCAGGGGAACGTCCCTTGAGTCAGGCTTTGGTCTCCAACGCCTCCAACTTCTCAGTCTCCCTTCTTTCCGACCGGTTTATATCGCAAGAAAGCCTCATAGGGTTCTTGTGCATAGATATTTCCAGAATGAAACCGGGGTAATTGGAAAAGGGAGGGAGAGTGACTTGGGGGAGAGGGAAAAGAGGAGCCCTTTGTAGCCAGCCGGGGCTGTCAATAAAGTTTTGTCGCCTTGGCAACCAAAGGTCTCCCGAGGCGGCAAGATGGAGGCGCACGCGGTGCATTCACCTCCTCGCACGGGCTGTCCCGGATTTCTCCCTCCGGCGGCTGAAAGAGAATAGGGAGGCGGAGACTCTGTGGTGACGGGCAGTGGCCTTAACCAATTGAAGGATAGGCTGTCCTAAATCTAGCTAGTCACGTACGAGTTTTGGAGCATGCAGAGCCCGCCCTCTTTCTACTTGGACCTAAATAACCCGACCCAGCCCGAGTTTAGTTCGGAACGACGGCGCTTTCGACCAATGAGAACTTTGGCTTCGAGCAGAGGCGAAGGAGGAGGCGGGATGGGTCTCCATGGCAGCGATTGAGTGACAGCGGTGTGAGCCATTAGCAGTAGTTCGTTGGGTTAATTGGCAGCGCGGGTTTGGCGGGGTTTCATCGGGCACTAAGGGGGGCTGGGAGGGGAGAGGCAGAGTAAGTCTTGGCCAATAGGAGAGCCGTGAGCTCCATAGTAACGGCAGAGTGGTGGTGGTTTTGACCAATAGAGTACTGTGACAGCCGTGATGGGGCGGGACCTCAGAGCCGAAGGGAGGCGCGCCGACAGCGTCTGACGAGAGCTGGAGGAGGCGGTGGGAGGTGGTGGTGGTGGTGGTGGTGGTGGTGGTGGTGGTGGTGGTGGCGGCAGCGCGGGCGCCTGAGGAGGAGAAGGAGGAGAAGCGGGTGAGAGGCGGCGCGGGGCCCGACCTCTGAGCCCCCTTCTCAGCCCCCGCCCCGCGCCGCCTTGGCTCCCAGTCGGCCCCCGCCCTGGCTGTCCCTTGGCCCTTAACTCGCGCTCGGGCGCCCAAGTCTCTTGGTCTTTGGCGGGCCTCAGACTCCGCGCCGCGGCCCCTTCCCTGTGTTCCTCACTCAGGGCCTTTGCTGTACTCCTGGAGCCTTTCCCGACCTCTCTCAATCAGGTGTCTCCTTGTACCCCCCAACCTGCTCCAGAGCCCGCTCTGACCCTTCAGGCCTCTCCCTGAATCACCAGGGCCTTTTCTGACGCCTTTCCCTGCACCCCGCCCCCCAGGGCTCTTCCTGAACCCCCTCTTAGTCCCCAGGCCTCTTCCTGCACCCCAGGCCTTTCCTCGACCCCTCTGAGTCCCCAGGCCTCTTCCTGCACCCCCAGGGTACTCCCTGACCCCTACCCCCTTAGTCCCCAGGCCTTTCCTTGACCCCTGTCTTTAGTTTCCAGGCCTCTACCTGCACCCCAGGTCTTTCCCTGACCCCTCTCCCTACACCCCCAGGGACCTCCCAGAATTCTCTCTTACTCCCCAGGGCTCTCACTGCACTCCCAGTGCTCTCCCTGACTCCTCTCAGTCCTCAGGTCTTTGTCTGACCTCTCTCACCCTCCTGTCCCTTCCTGGATTCTCAGGTGTCCTGATCTTCCACTTCCCTTCTTGGACCCTCAGGCCCTTCCTCTTTACTGCTTATCTAGGCCCCTCCAGGACTTTCTGCAGGCTTCTTTCTGCTTCCCTCTTCCCTCCCTGCAGCCCAGGCCTCTCTCTGGATTCTCTCCTGCTGAAATTCCCCAGTACTTTTCCAAACCCTGTTCTGGATCCTCAGGTCCTCTGCTCTCCCTGCCTGTTCTGGGGGATCCCAAGCCTCCCCCCAGGCCTTCCTGAAATCCCTCCTTGCGCTCCAGGCCCTGTCCATAACCGGTTCCCTTCCACTGTGCCTTCTGTGCAAGGCTCTGTTTTCTGTCTTTTCCCACATGCTCCTCCCTAGCTTCCTGGTTTTCCCTAGTGCCCTCCTGCAGTGTCCCCTCTTCAATTACCCCCAGCTTTCCAGTCTTTTCCAGATCTCTCTTCCAGCTGCTGTAGCTTCTCCTCATGCCTCTGCTGCTCCCCCTTCCTTGCCATTCCCGTTTACCCCTCTCCCAGGGCACAGGTTAGGCCCTCCCTCTGTGTTAGGGTTTGTTTTCATGATTTTTTTTAGTCTCTTCCTTTTTCCTTGCCCCTCTTTCTTCTTTTGACCTGTTCTGTCTCTCCATACTGTCCTCCCCCCACCTCAGCTTTTGTCCTCTGAGGACCCCCATCCCCTCAACTGGAATCTTTGGAGAGGGAGCAGGTGCTGGGATCCCTCTTCCACTCTCCCTCCCTTCACTCCCCTTTAGGCTGCCTGGGGCTTTGCCCAGAGTCTCCATACCACTCCCTAGGGTGGCTGGGGAGAAGGGTGGGGACTGAGACCCAGGCTAAGTTTGGGGGCGGGGTGGGGTGTGTGTGTGGGGGGGGTGGGGCTGTGGGGCAGACAGGAAGTGCTGACATTTCCCAGTGAGGTTGAGCTCTGCTCTCTCTGACCCCCGCCTGCTGCAGTGCTAAGCCTTCAGGGTTATCCCCTACTGACAGTCAGCTTTCCCTGCTCACCTAGGGACTTGCCTCTGCCCATGGGTTCTGTTTTTACTGGCTCTGTGAAGGTGTGCATGTCCAGGGGAGGTTGTGTGTGTTTGGGGATTTGCATCTGCCTTACAGAGCAGGTTGCCTTTCTGGTGGGGTTTGCCCCCTATCAGAAGCACTTGTTGCATATTATCCTTGACAAAGTCAGTATTGCTTTTTTCCCTATTCTCCTGCAGATAAGCAAACTGCAGGGCCTGCCAGCATCCTACGCAGCTTCTGAGTGGCACAGGGCACGCCCTCGCTCTGTGCCAGAGGCAGCATGGTCTTCAGAGGACCATGGGGCCTGACAGAGTGACAGCCCGAGAACTGTGTGAGAACGATGACCTAGCCACCAGCCTTGTCCTCGACCCCTACCTCGGCTTCTGTACCCATAAGATGAACGTCAGGTGAGGTGGCCTGGGAGTGGGGGCAGGCCCCTTTGTACCCTTCAGCCCGTCTTCTGGCAGCTCTAGGTGGGGTTGGGACCAGGCGAAGAAGGCCCTGGGACCCAGGCATGCCCTTTCCCCCAGCCCTATGCCCCCCCTGCGGCGACAGCACCACCTTCGCTCAGCACTGGAAGCTTTCCTGAGGCAGAGGGACCTGGAGGCTGCTTACCGGGCCCTGACGCTGGGAGGCTGGATGGCCCACTACTTCCAGAGCCGGGGCCCTCGCCAGGAGGCTGCCCTCAAGACCCACGTGAGGGAGCCCTCTCCCATCCCACCCATTCCTTCCCCTCCCTGCCTACTCCTCCTGCCCTGCTAATGCTTTAGAACCTTCAGTAGATCAGCCCTCCACCCCGGCCCTTGACTGCCTAGCCCCTGGGATGCCTGAAGTGAGGCTTCTAGAATTGTAGGAGAGGTGAAATGGAGGAGCCCTCTGAGATGGAGTTCAGCTTCTTCCTCTGGCAGATGAGGATACAGTCCCTGAGAGGAGACATGAGGCCCCAGTCCACAGCCAGGCCTGTCCCCAGAGAGAGGGTCCCTCAAGGCCACCTCCTCACCCACCCCCACTCATCCCATAGGTGTTTCGCTACCTCCGCGCCTTCCTGCCTGAAAGTGGCTTCACCATCCTGCCGTGCACCCGCTACTCCATGGAGACCAACGGGGCCAAGATCGTGTCCACCCGTGCTTGGTAAGGGAGCTTTTGGGAGAGGAGATCTAGACCCTATGGAGGACGTGGACCCAGAGGGGACTGGGGGGCAGATGAGGAGGGAGGCACACCTAGAAGATTTGAGAGAGATGCAGTGGCTGGCAGGGCCCCTAGAGGAGTCTGCCTAGAGGAGGCCCTGCTCCCTGGGCACTTCTGGGAGAGAGGCCCATGTTTCTACCAAGGACCAGGAGGCAGTGCTCAGAGCCCGTAGCCTGGCCTCTTGGCAGGAAAAAGAACGAGAAGCTGGAGCTGCTGGTGGGCTGCATCGCAGAGCTTCGGGAGGCAGATGAGGGCTGCTGAGGGCCGGTGAGAACGACTTCAGCATCATGTACTCAACCCGCAAGCGGAGCGCCCAGCTGTGGCTTGGCCCAGCTGCCTTCATCAACCATGGTGAGGGCAGGGGTGGGAAAGGGATGCTGGTGGGAGGGATGAGGCAGGGTTGGGGGCTGCCTCCTCATTTGCTTACCAGTCTCTCTTCTCTTCTACACCTGACTGGCTCCAGACTGCAAACCCAACTGCAAGGTGAGACCTACAGATGCCTGAAAGAGTGGGCACATGGGAAGCAAGGGGTTCCAGGGCAGGAGGGGTGGTTTTGGTTAGTAAAAGAATCACAGTGTGTCACCTGACAGCTGATTCCCATCCCTGGTAGCCCCTTGTGGCTGGCGGCAGCATCTGCAGTGGGTAGCACAGGAAAGAACATGTTCCTGAGGCTGTCAGAGGAGGAGGAGGAGGAGGAAGGGGAACTTTAGCTTGGCTGTTTGTGCAGTCCTGCTAGAACCCAGGTTGCCAGTTGAAATGGAGCTGGGAGTGTGATGGGGAGGTAGAATGGTAGCTGGGACTCCTTGCCTGAGCCTAGTATCACTTAGGCAGCTGTGAAGGCAGGAGCAGGGAAGAGACTTGAGTGAGGACCTAGGACTCTATCGTAAACTGTAGTTGGAGGGGTAATGGGTGGTGGAGGGTGAGCAGTTGGCATGAATATGTGGGTGAAGGAGTCAAGAAGGGAAGGCCCTGTGCAGGCCTTTAGGGAGAGCACACTATCCTGGGACAGACCTCATCGCTTGGAGCCCCTGAGGCATGAGGAGGGGCCAGCAGCCAGAGCTCAGGCTCCTGACTCAGAGCTGGGTTGAGTCCTGGCTACAGTGCCTGGCCTCAGGTTTCTCCTCTCAGATGCCTCTTGGACTGTTGTGGGAAACAAGCTGCTTCCATTTGTCAGAGGATCCCAGGATCAATGACACATGGCCCTTGCCTGGTCCTCTTGTGCTGTTCCCAGACACTGGGTGGGACAAAAAGCACATGGCAGCACGCAGACAGGCTCGGGAGACAGTAGCCAGCTTGCTTAGTGATTTGGAAATGGCAGACTTAACAGAAGCAATGCCGCACTGGATGTTGAAGGATGAGCAGAATTTTCAAGGTGTTGGAGGAAATTAGAGCCATGAGAGGGCAAGATGTGTCATGTCAGAGGGCCAGGCCAGCAGGCCTACCAGAGTGCATCATGGGAGGTTTGGTTTTTAGTTGGACATAGCTTGGTGGAAAGGAAGAGGCTAGTGTGTGACGGAGCTTGAGGTGATGGGCTGACTTCACATAGGGTTGAGAGATGAGAAGAGGAAGAGGATGCAGGAGGTGACACACTCAGGAGATACTGGCCAGTTGGCCTGGGGAGCCATCAGGCAGGGAGGCATTAAGGGTCCCTTGAGAGGAATGTCAAGCTTGAGTGGACAGAGGGTGGATGGACAGGTGGCCATACCACTCCCAGACAAGGAGTACATAGGTAGGCATAGGTATTGGGGGAAGGTGAGGAGTCTGTGAGGCAGCCTTCCGGTGAGTGGTCCCAAAGGCAGGGCTGATGGACATGTGGATTGGGCTGCAGAGTGACACAGACCTCAAGGAAGGGGAGGCATCCAGGGTCAACTGGCAAGGGAGTGAGTGGCCTGGCCCTGGAGGGGATGGGCCCTGCAAGTCACAGGTCAGAAAAGCCAAGGAAGAGTGCAGGAGGGAGTGGTCAACCACTGCTGGCTCTGCATACCGCTGGGAGGTCAGGTTAGCTCATGGTTCAGCAGGCGGATCATGTGAAAGACAGGCAGTAGGCAGGACAGCCGCCTCAAAATGGAGTTTGGCGGGCGGGGAGGGTGGGCAGCGCCTGGTGGCTTACACATGTAATCTTAGCTACTCAGGTGGGCAGTGGAGATCAGGAGGATTACGGTTTAAAGCCAGCCTGGGCAAATACTTTGTGAAACCCTATCTTGAAAAAACCCTTCACAAAAAAAGGACTGGTGGAGTGACAAGGTGTAGGTCCTGAGTTCAAATCCCAGTACGAAAAAAAAAAAAAAAAAGATGTTTCTGGGGGCTCATCTGTGCCTTAACCCATTAGAGAGCCCTTGGGCCAGGCTGCCTGTCCAGGCTGGGTGCTGAGTGGGCACGGTCCCAGTTTGTGCCTGCAGATGGGAATGCTGCCTGCGTAAAGGTGCTCCAGGACATCGAGCCAGGGGATGAGGTGACATGCTTCTACGGCGAGGGCTTCTTCGGTGAGAAGAACGAGCACTGTGAATGCTACACCTGCGAGAGGTGGGTTCAGGCTGAAGGCAGGCAGGGTGTGGACAGGCCAGCACACCCTCGTTCCTGAACACGTCCAACTCCAGCCTTTCCCTATCCTTGTCTCCACACTACCTGGTCCCCCAGGAAAGGCGAGGGAGCTTTCAGACTACAGCCCCGGGACCCCCAGCTGCCGCCACAGCCCCTGGACAAGTACCAGCTCCGCGAAACCAAGCGGCGACTGCAGCAAGGCCTAGACAGCAGCCAGCAGAGCCTCCTAAGCCCGCGGGCCTGCACCCATCTGTCCCTTCTGCGCCGGGATCCCTTCTGTGGTAAGCATTGGCCAGTGGGGATCCCTCCCTTTCCCTAGCCTTTGCACAGCTGCTTTTCTGAAGAGCATGGTGCAGAACTGTCCCTTCTTCCAGAGGAGGACCTGCTCCAACCCTGCTAACCCTCTCTTCTTTTCACTGCCCTCACAGCCGCCTGTCAGCCCCTGCACCTGCCACCTGGCAGTTCCCGCCTGGACAACTCACCTCTCTGGCTCCAGTGGCTGCCACAGCCACAGCTCCGAGCGCGCCCACGGAAGCGCCGGCGCCCCCGGCCCCAGCGGGCTCCAGTGCTCCCTGTCCTCCGTGCTGCCTGTGTCTCCCTGCACCGGTGGGGAGGCTGTGGCCCCAACTGTCGCTTGCAGGCTGAGGCTGTGGTAGCCCTAGGCCTTCCTCCTCATGCCCGCTGGGCTCCCCAGCAAGACTGGCACTGGGCTCGGCGCTATGGGCTGCCTTATGTGGTGCGTGTGGACCTTAATCGCCTGGCCCCAGCCCCACCAGCTGCCCCTACTTCTACTGGGACCCTCAGCCCTGTCTCCATCCCCATCCCCATCCCCAAACAGGCCCTGGCCTTTACCCCCTTCTCCACACCCAAGCGCCTGCGCCTAGTTGTCAGCCATGGATCCATTGATCTGGACATCAACAGTGATGAGCCTTGATAAGTCGGGCAGGGAATCCCAGGCTGGCAGGAGGGGTCTTTCTCATAGGCCCTCTCCAGAAGGAGCCCTCAGACCTCTGGGAGGGAGCTGACCCTTGACCCCAGCACAGCTCTGACTTTGGGAGTGGGTTGGTTAGGACATCCCAGGGATCTGATTCCTGACCCTCTGACTGCTGACTCCTGAGCCAACCCCACCCCAGCAGGGACCCCTGGCCATTTGTTGCCCCTATCCCCCTACCCCCACCTCAGGACTGGAGGATCCACTCCCTCCCCTCAGCTCCTTCCTTCCTAGGGAGCCAAGCCATAAAGGGGTGGGAGCCACCCCATGGCATCTCCCCGTAAGCCCAGGCCTCAGGAGGTGGAACTGCTTCAGTGATGGGGAGTGGATTTGCTCTCAGTTCTGCAGCTGTCTGAGGTGGGGGTAGGTTGGGTTGAGGGTATCTGGGGCACATCCTCATCCCCCGTAGGTCTCAGGGAGGCCGGGTGCAACCTCTTCTTTCATGGTGCTATCCCTGGTGCTATTGGGGTGTGGGAGGCTCCCTCCCCTCCCCACACCAGAATGGGGTATTTTGGGGCATTGGAAGCACTTGAACTTTTTATTTTATTAAAACCTTGTTATAAGCAGCACCCCTAAACGTTTTTGTTTGGGTTTCTGTTTTCAGGGGTGTCAGTTCAGGGTCAGACCTCAGCCTTGTTGGGCAGATAAGGAGTAGGAAGCAGTCTTGGGCCCTGATCGTTACCAGGAGGGTAAAAGGTAGTGGGTTCTGGGAACTGCCTGGTATGGAGGCAGAAGCACTGTCACCACTCACACTGCTAATAGAAGATGACTTCAGACTCCCTCTTGTGGGAAAGGGTTCTCCAGTTTTCCAGATGAGGTAACTTGAGGTCCAGCAAAACAGAGTGACTTGCTTGAGGTCATAAGGGCATTTGAAGGCCCTTCTCCCACACATCAATCAGATATGCCCCCTACATCTCCACCTAGGAAAGAGGAGAGGGAGCAGGCAACCTAGATGCACTGGAGCCAGCTCTGGGGAGGTGGTGTGGTGTGGGTGGGGCTTCTGTTTAATACCAGGACACTGAATTTCATTTCTTCAGGTCTGATCCAGTATTCCCCCCTCCTTTGGTAGTGGAGCTTGAACTCAAGGCCTTGTGCTTGCCAGACAAGTGTTTTACAACTGGTCTGTGTTGGGTATTTCAAGATAGCGTCTCACGAACTATTTAACTGAGCTGGCTTTGAACCATGAGCTTCCTGATCTCTGCCTCCTGAGTAGCTAGGATTACAGGTATGAGCCACAGGTGACCAGCCAGAGTTCTGTCTTACACTGAGAGGAATGGGACAGGGAGGACAGTGGCTCTGCCCAGCATCCATTATCTGTGCCTTGCAGAACCTGCTTGGCTGCCTGGGAGTCTACCTTGACCATCAGGTACACCAACCAGCCAGCAGGACCTGGAGAAAACCACCTGGGAGGAGGGGATTGAGGGTTGACAGGTAATACACACGGGGGCCAAGTGAGAAGGAGCAAGTAGAATGTGGCACAGGGGAAAGCAGAAGAGAGTGGAAAGACTCTGGAAATGACAGCCAGCATGGAAACTGGGTACTCACCATGTTACAGGCATCCACACTGCTCTCAGATTCCATCTGGCAGGCTGGGCCCCTCTCCTGAGGTCGCCCCATTCCAAACCATTTCCCCTCTTTTGGGCACTGACACTGTACTTAGTACAGGTCAGCCAGGTGCCTCCAGGATCAATAGGGCCATGGTTGGTGGAACTGGGCAAAGCATGAAGGTCAGCTGGGAGGAAGGAGCAGGACGGACTGGATGGAGGAGGAAGAGGTCAGGAGAGCAAGGCTGCAGATGTTTGGGAATAGGAGTGGGAATAAGGTAACTGACCTTGGATGAATTCCTCTGACCCCATGAGACTGCTAAGAGACAAACTGGCACTGGGGGTCTCAGGAGGCAGGTGGGGAACACTAGCTGAGATGCTGGGGAAGAGGTGCTCAGTTTGTGTGTTTGAGGTATGGGCAGAGGAGACGAAGTCTCCAGGCCAGGAGTATAAGAATATGCTGGAATGAAACCAGGCATGGTGGTACACACCTATAATCCCAGCATTGGGGAAGCTGAGACAGGAGGATTAAGAGTTCCAGGCCAGATTGGGCTACAAAGCAAGATTCTGTCTCAAAAAAAAAAAAAAAAAAATGTGCAGGATCAACTGGTGATGGCAGGGAGGATTATGGTCCCAAAAAGGGAGAAAAGAGAAATACTGACTAGAGTGAAAACAAGCTCTAGGCAGGGTCAAAGGTGACCATATTGGTCCTGTGCTCTAGACAGTACCTGGATGACCTCACTAAGGTCACCTCAGGTCTTTGCCCCCCTTCCTTCGCTCATCAGCTACTTTTCTGGCAGTGGCAGCACCTCTGTGGCTCTGGAGATGTTCAGTAACCAGACGTGGCCCCTCCTGTAGCTGAGTCCACACCCTGCACCTCCACCCTTTCCCTGCCTCTCAGGTTGTGGTCAGAGACAGGGAGCTAGGAAGCCAAGGTCTCAGACATAGAGTCATCCCAGGGGACAGCCCATCTGGGGAGTGTCCTGGGTGGGGTAGTGGGTAACCCAGAAGGCAGGTGGTCATCATGAAGCAGGGGTGGGATAGAGCAAGTCCTCCTCTGAGCTCATCCACCCCTCCAACCCTGCTTCCTGATAATGGGACTCTAAGCCATCTCGGTTTACAATTAGGGCAATGGAAGTTTGTCCAGGGACACCTAGTAAGTTGTCATTATTAGTCATTGTCACCTTTGAACCCCCAAGGTTGAATGGGGCCTCATGACACCATTTAGGTCAGAGTCTGGGGACCCTGCCCTGAGAATCACCCTAGGTTCTACCAGAAGACTGACAGTATGGGGGTAGGAGGACCAGCCTCCCCAGGTTACAGGTTCCAGCCTGGGACCCCTGGGCTTTGTCAGAGGCCATTCCTGGGCCTGAGGAGAGGCACCAGCTCCAGGGGCATCTGGAACCAGCAGCAGCTCAGCATGGTGGTCTCTGGATGGGAGGAGGGGGAAAGAGCAGAGAAAAATTCAGATGGGGCGCTGAGCAACCTGAAGAGGTCAGTGGGAGAAACTGAAGTGACATGTGCCAGAGAGGTACAGATGAGAGTGAGTGTGCAGGGGCAGACCCATGTTAGAGAACAGAGGAGGATATTCCTGGCCATGGGGATGCTGGGAGGATGCAGAGAGGACTCCCCAGAGGCCTGTCCAACAAGAGGACTCATATGATATTGACAATGTTCTGGGAGGAAAATGGGGCCAGTGAGAGCTGGATATGAACGGAGAGCTAAGAAAGTAACACAGCAGGATAGGCAGGGAGGGTAGAGTCAGCACTGGGTGGTAGGAAGACCCTCAGGATCGGCGACTCCATGGATCAGGTGTGGGATAAGGGAGGAGGCCAGGGAGATTGCCAAAGCAGGGAGGCAGGAGGCTGAGACACTTGGATATAAAGACTTGGATGACAGGCACTTGTGCCTGGGGTGGGGGAGTAATATTGGGATCCAGGAGTCCTGGGTGGTGAGTGCTGGATTGGTGGTGGGACATGGGAACCCCTCAGCTTATTCCTACCTTCTTGTCTTAAGACTGCTCTTCCTTGGGCTGGCAGAGTGACTCAAGTGGTAGAGTGCCTGCCTAGCAAGAGTGAGACCCTGAGTTCAAACACCAGTACTGCCAAAAAAGATTGCCCTTCCTCATGAAGCAGTAATCCTCCCCCGAATTGCCCCTCATTAGCAGAAGAAACAGTGTTAGGACACAGGAACAGGGAGGACCCCACTCACCCCCATGGACAACTGACCAAGCATTAAGAAACATTAGTAGCGAGCAGGATATGTATGGTGGTCACATCTGTAATCCCAGCTACTCCAGAGGCAGGAGGGCAGAAGTCAGCCAGGGCAAAAGGTATCCAGATATCCAGACCCTTCTCAAAAACTAAAATAAAAACAAAACGGCGGTTGAGGGCCATAGCTCAAGTGGTGGACAGCTTGCCTAGCAAGTGCAAGGCCCTCCGTTCGATACCCCATACCGCGGGGGTGGGGGGGGGGGAGCGAGGAGGGGAACGGATAAAAGACAAAACGAGGAAACATTAGCAGTGACATAACTTTATTTGTGGCTTAGAGACTTGGGAGGGGAGCAACCAAAGCCGGGACTCCGCGAGACAAGAAGATGGAGGATTACTGGGGCTGATGCCTCCAAAGAAGCCTCTCTCGCGCCATCATATCTTGCCCGCGAAAGTCCCATTCCTGATCTGCTCGTTCCAATGCTGCACCTGGAGAGGGAGGAAAGCCGGGCGACGGCTCAGCCTCGGCCAGAGCCCCCGCCCCCTGCTGTTCTCTGTCCCGCGCCCCTCTGCCAGCTCACCCAGCTGATGGGGCACAGCGAGTGGAACACGCGGAAATAATACTCGCAGGGTTGCGTGCTCTTCCCGCGGCGGTTCATGCTCTTCAAGCAGCGGTGATAGTCTGCAGAGAACCGCAGAGTGGGAAGGCGGGGTCACGGTAATAACCACGCCCACTCCGGACAGGTCACGCTCCTCCCTCCAGGATTCTGTCCCATCCCTTCCAACCATGCTCTCCCATTCCACCACCCTAGGCAGGTCCGGCTTCTGCCCCAAAGTCTCCAAACAAAGCCCCGCCCCCAGGTCAGGGCCCGCCCCTTCATTTAATTAACGAGGCCCCGCCCCTCCGGGTTTAGTCTACTTCGCCCCGCCCCTCCCTGAGTCTGTCCCACCCTTTCCAGACCAGGCCCCGCCAACATTCTAGGCCCTGCCTCCGCACCTTGCCCCTCCTAGGTTGGCCCCACCCATTCAGATAAGGCCCCGCCCCTCCTAACCAGGCCCCGCCCCCAGACCACAGACGGGTCAGCCTCCCCAACTCCAACGGTTTCCGGGAGCCTTCAGGTGGACTCCCTTTTCTGCCTCCTCTCCCCGCTCCCTCTGGCCCCCTCTAACCTGGCCTACTGGGTCTCACCCAGAAAGTTCTGGTAGCAGTTACGGGTCTGGTTCTGGTTGGGGAAGCGTGGGTCAAATGGTGGCGTTGCCCATTTCTCCCTGGGGGGTTTCTGGGCTTCGATGTCCAACATCCAGGAAGGAGGTAAATCCTGCGGGGCGGTAGGGGGGCTCTGTGGGACCTAAGGGCGCCCCTCGCTCCGATGGCTCCTAAGCCCACTCTAAACCCCACCCGCCTTCCCCTTACCAGACTGCTGTCAACCCGTCGCGGGATCAGCTGCGTTAGTGGTTCCTGCCAGGTGTGCACCTTGCTTCTGAGTCTTGGTGGGAGGGGGGTCCCACCCAGCTCAGAAAAAACACGACCCTCAGACCGGATTGGCTGGGAACTCGGGAGCCCCAGCCAATGGGAACTGCTGGGTGAACCAGTCTGGGCCTCGGAGCTGCATCAAAGGAGGCTTCCCTCCCAGCTCCCTTAGGATATCCTCTATGGGACCCGCGCGCCACACGCGCACACACCCACAGACACGGAGGCACGACTTTGACTGAGTCTCAGACTCAGACTTTTAATCTCTGCGAAACTGGGCTTCTCCCCGGGCTCTCCCTGACCCCGCCCCCCAATATATAAACGTATAGATAGCTCTGGTTTCTACCCGAGAGGAAAAATTCCCCTGCCCAGTCTTTTCAGCAACTCTGCTTTTTACGGTAGGGGTGCACAGCACCCTGGGGTTCTGTAGAGGAAGCGGGGTGGGGGGTGGCGAGGAAGGATGATATCTTGGCTCCTGAGATCCCTGGCAGGGCCAGGACCAAGTCTAAGATAGGTCTGTAGGGTTCGGAGGGTACCTGGCCCCGCTGGGCTCCTCTGGACAGTTTGCTGACTGAAGTCTACTGCAATCTGCTATTTAAAGTTCTGGGGAGGCTGCATGCTGCAGGGAGAGAAACCAAGAAGTCTTGGAACTCCAAGTAGACAGCAGTAAAATACACATCACCAAAATTTACCACTGCCTTTTAACATGTACCCCTTAAAAGTGGTATGACCACCTCTATCTAGTTCCAGAATGTTCTCATCACCCCAGGGGAAACTCCTAACCCATTATCTGTCTTTCCCTATCCTTCCATCCACTTCCAGCCCCTGAAAACCACCAATCCACTTTCTGTCTCGATGGATTTGCCTGTTCCTGACGTTTCATGGAAGTGGAGTCCTATGCAATGTAGCTATTGTGCCTGGCTGCTTTCACTTGACATGTTTAAAGGGTCACCTGCACTCCAGCCCATCAGTTCTCCTGTCTCTAAACACTTTGAAGTTGCTTCAGTCAGACTTTCATACCCAACATGTCCCCTCTCCACTGATAAACCCACAGGCCCTCTCCCAGTCCCGGCTTTCCTTCATGTAGCTGCGCCAGTGTTCCCTTTCCCTCTCACCACCATCATGTAGAGATTGTGATGTCCCCACCTCTTGCCATTCTGCTCTGTTTCCTTTTTTATCCCCCTAAACTTCTTGGGCTTTGTCTCTTCTTCATCTTCACTTACTGGTGACATCATTTAATCATATCTTGACCTAACCCTTCCACAGGTCAATGACTACCAAAATCAATTTCCCTGAACTCCAGACACACACCTAACTGCCTTCCCTAGCCATCTCTCGAACTGAGAATTCCCAGTCTTCTCCCTGAAACTGTCTTCACTTGCCACCTTCCCCCACTGCTGATGTGACCACTGCACCCTCCAAGTCTCTTGGACCCCAAACCTCCCAGCTATCCTCAACATTGTTCTCAAACACCATGTGCCCAATCCACAGGCAATATTAGCTTGTCCTTCAAAGTGTCTGCAGAATTCAGGGCTTATCAATACCTCATTATCTCCCCTCTTGTTCAATCCACCCATCCTCTCCTACCTGGGTTATTGCAACAGCTTCCTCCCTATTCTTCTGGCTTCCACCCTTGCCCCCTCTACATTTTCTACCCCAAGCTGGAGAAAACCCTTTCAACTTAAATCCATTCCTGTTACAGTGCCGCCCCAAACTCTCCAGCTTGCTCAGAGTCAAAGTCACAGTTCTTAAACTTGTCTACTTGTGATAGGTACCCCTGCTGCTCTTCTGACTTCATTCCCTGAACCAGGATCTCTTGTGGCTCACTCAACATCCAGCTATTCCTTCTATAGGATTCTTTCCCTGCAGCTAGATGTCCTGGTGGCTTCCTCCCTCCTCTCCTTTCACACAATCAACACTCAATGTGTTAGCCAGGTTACCTCAGTGTTAGAATGCGTGCTTGCCATGTGTGAGACACTGGGTTTAATTCCCAGCAAATCCCCAAAAAGGGAGAGAAAAAGAATATGAATAATGGAACTGACGTTAAATGTTATCTGCTAACCCTGTATACCTGGCTGAAGGAGGAAAGTTGCCCAATTCCTTGTTTTCCATCTCCGCCTTGGAGGCCATGTCCCTTATACTCTTAATTTCTAAGAGCATGGGTAGGAGAATGTTTGAGGATGACCCCGTTGTGGCCACAGGATGCTGCTTCAGGATCCTCATGGGTCCTTGAGGCTTCCTCAAAGGCTGCGGTGGCACTCTGGCTGTGGCCTCCCTTCTGGAGATGGGGGATGCTGGGAGAGGAGGTTGTGACAGGTTCTCCCATCCAGAGGCAGGCAGGGGGATGGGAACATGGGGTTTATTGGCATTTTCCCTGCTGCCAGAGGTAGGCACAGAGTAGAGAGGAACCTTAGAAGGCCCCTCTGGGTCCCAGGGTAGTTCCCTGTCTGTCCATTGCTGTGTGTTCTCCTTCACCGAGATCTGAGACTCTGGCTGCTCTCTTACTACCACTGGTGGCCTCTCCAGCAAGGACAGCTGGCTGGGGTGAAGGCCATCATAGGAGACATAGCGGATTCATGAGAAGTCATTGAGAGCCAGGAGGGTAGTGAGACGTCAGCTGGCTCTTTCGAATTGGCCATGATCATCAACTTGGCCAGGGTGAGCCCTTCCACAGAAAAGGGTCTGCTGTACTCCTTGGAAGGGACCTCGATGGCCAGTTCCTGGGTCTTGACCCACCTTTTCTGCTGTTCCACCTTCTTGGATCTCATGTTGGGCGTGTCCAAGGATGTCTTCTCCTTCATCCTGTGGGTCCTGCCCTCTGACTTCCTCTTGCCCTTGAGGCCCTCCAGGTTCACCACCTGGGTTTTGCGAATCACAAACTCCTTAGACTCCTTCTTGGTTGTAGTGAAGGGTTGCTCCAGAGATTTCGTCTGGGTCCTTGTCTCTACTACTTTTGTCTCCTGGGTGCCCACAAACACCACAGGCTCGGGTTTCCGGTCAGGCTTGCTTTGCTCCAGAACCTCCCCTCCAGGAATTGTTGCTGCCAACACATGAAGACCGCTAGGGCCCTTCTGCTGTGAGGTGGGTGAGCCTAACACCTTCTTGTGTTGGGAAGGTGAGGATGGAGTCTTCCAGGATGGGGTGGGAAGGACCAGAGGTAGCTTCTTTAGGACAGGGCGGGACGTGGCTTTCTGGGGAATAGCAGGTGCACGTGTGACCTTCTGTGTTAAGGACAGAGTCTTCTGCAGTGGGGCAGGTATAGCTGTAGCTTTCCAGGAGAGTTAGGTACAGCTGGGGTCTTCTGAGAACAACCAATCCAGGTGGGGCCTTCCGGGAAAGGCCAGGTATGGCTGAAGCCCTCTGGGAAATAGCGAGTATGGCAGAGGCCTTTGGGGATGACCGAGGTACAACTGTGATCTTCCGGGATGGAGAGCAAAGAGGTGGGGCCTTCCGTGATAGAGCAGGTACAGCCAACACCTTATGGGACTGGTCCATGATGACTGGTGCTTTCCATGAGGCCACTGGGCAGTTGGGGGCCTTCCAGGAGGGTGGTGGTCTCTGGCAGTGCCGAAAGCTCATAGACCTGGCCTTGTGACCAGACCTTAGGTGGGAGATGGGTGAAGAGAGGTAGAAGGCAGGAGGATAGGGAGTTAGGCTCAAGGAGGATGAGGACAAAGTGCTGGATTCAGGGTCCATGAGGTCTTGAAGATCTTGTTGCCAGAGGACCATGTCTAGCTGACCACAGGGGCCCAGAAAGGTGAGATCAGGTCTGCAGGCCGAGATACAGCGTAAAGGGGTCTCGATCAAACCTCCCGGCCGGTGTCTTCCTCAGAATCTGCTGAGTAGACCTGTATGACAAAGGAAAGGTACATTTAGGGCCTGGGAGCTCCCAGGTTCCAGTGTCTAGTCCCCAGCCCTTCTCCCTCAAATCCAGGAGTCCAGACCCCAGCCCTCTTCCCTCAGACCCAAGAGTCCAGACCCCAGGCCTCCTCCCTCAGATCCAGGAACCCAGGCCCCAACCCTCCTCCCTCAGACCCAGGGGTCCAAGCCCTGGTCCCTGACACATGGCTGGCCTTTGAAGAGGACTGTCCCTGGTTGATAGTTCTGGAAATTATGCTGAAGATGGTGCGGATAGTGATGCTGGCTTTGTCTGTGTGAGGAGAAGACAGTTTGAGCCCTTTGGGGAGGGATCAGAACCACGGGCAGGTCCATACGTAGTGGGGGTAGGGAGGGGGTTGCTCCTACCAGAAACGTGTATCTCAGCGTTAGACCTATCATACCCGGCATCTGGGTGAGACCTGTGTGAGTGATACCATGGACTTTGATGGCATCAGGCAGGGTGCCCATCCATCCTCCAGCTCCTATGGCAGTGAACCCCCTTGCTCACTTTTTTCCTGTGCCTCTTTTCCTAACGTCAGATTGTTCCATCTGGGACCAAACAAGAGGCATGGAGTCACCCACAGCCTGAGACTTGAAATTGCAGTTGGGGACCTGGTAGTGGATGGGGAGGGAACAGTGAGAGGAGGGACAGTCCTGGACCCTTTGCCCCTCAGGCTGGAGCAGGCTGGCTTACCTTGGCCTTCCTTTGCATCAGTATTTTAAAAAAAGGTGGATTCAGAAACCTCGGCTAAGAAAGAGGTGGAGAGAGGAGGGTCAGGGGCCCCGAGGGGTGAACATGGAGCAGGCACTAAGGAGGACATGGAATGCTCAGGGGGTTGGAGCTCTGTCCACGCCTGGGGGAGTAAAGGAAGGACAGCCTGGCAGGAGGCAGAGCCTGCTCACCTGTAAGTCCTCTGTGGCTCTGGTCCTGCGGACAGGGAGGGGGCAGTCAGGAGGGGCTGCCCTTGCTGGTTTCTATGTTTCCATTACCTACCCAGCCTCCCCTCACACCCATGAGGTCAAAACTCCCTGGTGGTCCAGGACCCCAGCTCCTTTCTGGCCCTGGACTTTTGGCTGTGGGTCCCAGTTCCCTGTGGAATCTGGAAAGTGGCTTGCTAGACCCAGTTGTCCCTGAGGTCTGTGGGGTTAGGGCCCTACCTGGAGGTGCCAGGTGGAGGCAGGTGCTGTGGCCAGGGACACATCCAGGGGGGGTGTGTGCAGGGTCCTGGGGCCCAGTTGCTGGTAGGCTCCGAAGCAGGTTGATAAGACAGATCCAGCGGTCAAACAGGAAGCCACCTCATTGTCAGGGGCGTCTAGCTCCAGGTAGTAATAGCGGCCAGTGACCAGGCACAGCTTCAGGCGCCAGGCATATAGGTCGTGGACGTAGAGGTGGACAAGGTCTAGTGGGATCATCCTGGGGGAGGTGGGAGATGGGCTGGCTAGAGCTGGAAGTGGAGTGGAGGAGAGGTGGCCTGGTATGGGAGGGGGATGGGGAGCACCTGGTCAGCATGAGGCCGGAGCAGTCCCTGTCCTCAGGGGGCTGAGCAATCAGCAAGATGTCTGGCAGCACCAGGCCAGGCAGAGAGGCTGCCACGCCCATGGTCAGCCTGTTGGTTCTATGATGCACAAACACAGGGCTCCCACAATTTGTCACCTGGTGTGGTCAGGGAGCAGGGCTGGGACCAATCCTTTCTCCAACATGCCTCCAGCACCCCCAGACTAAGCCCCCCTTCCAAGCCCACCTCCCAGCTGCAGAGGCCCACCTCAGTCCCTCCTACCCCCACAGGTAGACCCTCTCCCTTCCTGTCCCTCAGCCCCCGGGGTACAAGGAGCCGGGAACCTGAACAAAGTTACTCTCGAACATGGGCAGCGGGCGGAGGGGCAGGTACTCGCCCGTCTGGAGGGTCTTCTGCAGCTCCCCCAGAATGGGGACCCACTTCCGGGGGGCCCGGGCAGGCTGAGTACGCCGGATATTCCAAAGGCGGTACATGATGGCTGCAGGAGCAGTTGGTGGGGTATGGATTCAGGGACCCAGGACCCAGGTGTGCCCCCGTCCCCTTCCCCCAGCCCACCTGCCTTGGCCCTTTGGGCTTCACAGGTGCTGGGAGCTCAGAGATCATAGAGTGGAGCTCCCCTGGGGCTGGGAGACTGGGCCGGCCATTGCCGTGGCCCTACAGGGGTAGGCAGCACTGGGCTGGGAGGAGCCTTTGGTGGGGGCTTTGTGACCTCACCGGACACACAGGGGACTCTTCCTGGGAACTCTCCAGGGCCCCATCATCTGGGGATATAGCATGGAGTCTTGAGGACTGGGATGGATGAATTAGAACTTCATACCCGGGGCGGCATCCTGCCCCCAACACACGGGCAGGAGTTTGTGTGGGTTACTGTAAATGGACCATTAGCCAAAGGGTTTGAATCACAGTCCCAGCTCTGTTGCTGATTTTTTTTTTCTATTTTTTAGTTTTGCAGTAGTGGGGCTTGAACTCAGGGCCTCACGCTTGCTAGGCAGGCACTCTACCACTTGAGCCACTCCACCAGCTCTGTTGCTGATTCTTTTTTTTTTTTTTTTTTTTTTGATGGTTGTTGTTTTCCAGGCAAAGAAAACTTGTGCACAACAGCTCTCTGGGTACCCGGAACCTCATCTGATTCTGTTGCTGATTCTTAAGACTGAAACCCATGCCCAGCCTCAGTTTCCCCATGGCTAACGTGTGGGTCCAGGAATGGTCTCTGAACACTGAGCTGTAAATAAAGGGATGCTTCCCATACTTGAGCATGGTGACACACACCTGTATTCCAGCACTTGGGAGGCAGAGGTAGAAGGATTGTGAGTTCAAGGCCAGTCTGGGTATGTAGGGCGATTTTGTCTCAAAAAGCCAGTGTCTAGGGATGTAGCTCAGTGGTAGAGCACTTGCTTAGCATGTGTAAGGCCCTGGGTTCCACCCCAGCACCACAAAAAAAAAAAAAAAAAAAAAAAAGACAGGGACATCATCTTCTGAATGAATCTGACTCAGAACAGAATCACAATTCCATCTCTCCCTGTGTGACCACGAGCAACAGAAATGCCCCTCCTGTCTGAGCCTCAGTTTCCCCTACCTATAAATCAAAATACAGGGGAACCACATCAGTAAAAAGTCCACACTTAGCAGGGTCCAGAGCAGGGGCTCAAATAATGGTCTTTCTGTTCCATTCTAAGGGTTTGTTTTTTTTTCCCTTGGTGGTGGGGAGAACTGGTGTCATTCTAAAAATAGAGTTTATTATTATTTTAAATGTGTCATGTAAAATACAGTTCATGGTAGAAATTCTGAAAAATACAGACAAGCACAAACAATAAAGGTCTACCATAATCCCACCTCTTTTCCTTTCAACCCTGAGACAGTCATTGTCAACATTTTGGTATATGTCCCTCTAGGATTTAAAAACAAAATTCCACATACATAGAAACACAAAATTGGGATCACACAGTGGTCTGTTGTCTGCTTTCTGTGCCACAAGACATCTTCCATGTCAAAAGCAGTCTCTTTCCTGGAGCTTCCCTTTTCATGAATGGCTGTATTCTGATGTTTTGTTTATCGATCCCCCACGGTTGGACATCCAGGTTGTTTCCAATTTGCACTGTGAACACTGTCAAAATGAATAACCTTGAGCTTTTATCCTGTGTAAGTGCTGTCAGTCACAAGGTGACCTTCCATTAAATAGAAGTGCTGGGCACTGGGTGAGGCTCAATCTTGCTTCCACGAAGTTGTTGGAGCCACCAACCATGCTCCCTTGCTCTGCTCTGCCCACTCAGGACTTTTCTGCCTCCTCCCCTACACCAGGGACCCCTGGCATCCAGGCACAGCTCAGAGAAATCACCCTTAAGTGGGCATGTATGACAAATTGAATCCCCCTTTCTCTCTGTCTCATAAAGGTTTCTACATTTTTTGTACAAAATCCCAGGCTTTCTTTCCCCCCCTCCCCATCTTAAAATAAAAAGTAATTGTTTAATAAATAAAAATGCTCCGCCCAGGCCCAGAGAAGAAGGAGCCAAGATGATGGAAAGAAAGTCTTCTCAAAGATCCAACAACCCAGGATCCCAGTTTCTCCTCCTCGGGACCCAGGAGTCCACCTGCCTCCCACCTCCCTTAAATAAATAAGTATAATAACACAGGTGCCTCCCCCACTGCACCCCGGTCTCCTGAAGGGAATGTAACTAGTGGGGGGTGGAGATGAGGGGTGATATCCCCTGACCACCATGCCCCCAGTACTGAAATAATAAATAAATAAAGATCTGGCTTTGAAGGACAACGGTGGCTTTGGGTCCAAGATCACAGCCGAGTCTTCAGCAGCAGCAAGCCTCGCACGGCCCAGTCCAGGGTTAGGTGCAGCCCTCTAGGATGGCATAGCTGCCCTGATGCTTCCCCAGGCTGAGGCAGGGGGCACCAGGGGGGCAGATGGCTGGTCTAGGGTGCCTGGGGCAGGGATAGGCGAGACATCTGTCAGGAGAGAGCAGAGGTTAGCAAAAGCCAGGGGTAGGAGGTCAGGGGAAGGGGGTATTGGAACAGTTCAGGCTGCATATCACAGTCTCTGTGTGGGGAATGAGTGTTCAGGAAGGAGCTCTTCAGGGTGCTGAGTCAAAAAGTTGAGGCTGGGTCAGAAAGTTGCTGGTTTTTTTTTTTGTTGTTTTGTTAGTACTGGATTTGAACTCAAGTCTTCCTGCTTGCGAGGCAGGCTTTCTACCACTTGAGCTACACCACCAACCTCTATTTTTGGTTGGGTATTTTCAAGACAGAGTCTCTCGAACTTGTTGCCCAGGCTGGCTTCAAACCTTGATCCTCCTGATCTTTACCTCTTAAGTAGCTAAGATCATAGGTGTGAGCCACCAGCGCTGGACTAGCAAGGTGCTGTCTTATGGCTGGGCCTTCAGGCAAGTTTGGAGCTTGGTGAGCTCTATAGAGTTGGAGCACCTTGTGAGGGCTGAGCCTCTGAGAGCAGTCAGTCTGGAATCTTGGAGCTTGGATGTCTAGGAACCAGTGTTAAAAGCTGTGGTCTCAAGTCTGGGGATGAGGCCCAGATTTTGGGGCTGGAATCTTAGATATGGCTGACATCTCTAGAGTAAACTAGGAGCTGGAATTTGAGGTCTGGAGTTTTTTTGGAGTCAGGTCCAGAAACCAAAGTCTAAATTTGCATCTTCGGGTCTTAGGTCGGTTTTAGAGTTGCTGGCACACAATCCAAACTTCACGTTGTGTCAGGCGCTGGTGGCTCACACATGTAATCCTAGACTCAGGAAGCAGAGATCAGGCAGGATCACAGTTTAAGCCATCCCAGGACAAATAGTTCACCAGACCCTATCTCGAAAATCCTTCACAAAAATAGGGTGGTGAATGGCTCAAGGTGTAGGCCCGGTTCAAACCCCCATACACAAAAAAACAAAAACAAAAACAAAAAACCACATTTCGGGGTTTCCAGTTGGAGTGAGACTTGGGACTAAGGGCTGTGGATCTGAGACTTTAGCATCATCTAGATTCTTGACATGTGGCCAGGCCAGAGTTTTGAATCTTAAGGGCTGGTCCTTGAAGTGTCAGGATCTTGGGGCTGGATCCAGGGCTCT